GACATGCCCGACCTGATCCTAGCCTGCCTACGACGCCCACCAAGGAATGTGCTAAGAACCTTTTGGTGGTTCGCGCGGACGGTTTCCCAGACCAGTTCTGGCTGACACCGTCTTGGCTTGTCCTTCGAGCATCCTTCTGCTCTGAGAGTATTTCGTGGTGGGCCTATAGGGATGCCGGGCGGTCGGTCCCTGCTCCGAGAGGCCCCGGGCGCCGCCCCGGCGGCCGCCGCGCCGGCTCCGCGGAAGGTCGGCGCGGTGGCCCCAGCGCCCGAGCAGGCGAGCGGCTCTCCCTCCGCGGGCGGCGCGCCCGCGGAGGAGTCCGCCTCCGACGAGGAGAACGTGGGCCTGTTGTGCGGCTCCAGGGGTGAGGCCTGAGGGCCCGCCGCCGCGTGCTCTCGGCCAGGGCGGGAGGCGGCCGCCGGCGGCCAGGGCGGCCGGCGAGGCGCGAAGCCGAGGGTGCCCTCGGCGTGGCCCCCATCGAAGAATCCCCGCCTCCGGCGCCTCCCCTTGCCGCCTCCTGCTCCTCCTCCTCCTCCTCCTCCTCCTCCTCCTCCTCCTCCTCCTCCTCCTCCTCCTCCTCCTCCTCCTCTCTCTCTTTTTCCTCCTCCTCCTGTTTTTTTCCTCCTCCTCCTCTCTTTTTTTCCTCCTCCTCCTCCTCCTCCTCCTCCTCCTCCTCCTCCTCCTCCTCTCTTTTTTCCTTTCGGATACCTACTCCCTGTCGCACCCCGTGGCCGGTCGAAAGGCCGAGCCGGGCGTTTCGCTTATGATCTTGAAGCTTGAGATTTGCAAGAGTTTCACGGATGGGGGACTGCTCACTTTCAAAATGTGGTTCTCGCCTAGCGCCGCGCACATTCGTTTGTGCGGTTCGTTTTCCAAATGTGGCTTTCGCCGTAAAGCCGCGCACAGATGTTGCACACCAAGTGCAATAGCTTCACGGATCGACGGCGGCCAGTTTTCAAAATGTGGTTATCGTTTAGTGTCGGGGGAGCGTAAGACCGGGGTTTGCCAGGACTCGGGTTCGCCATCGTTTTTTGACGACCGCGCCTCGGATTTTGACGAGGAGGAGTTTCGTGGGATGTCTGCAGCGGGAGGCCTCGTCAAAATGCAGGTTCGGCCTCGTCATTTTTGTTGACGACCTCGTCGGGGATTTCCGAGTCCCCTGTACCCAGGTCTTACGTCCCCCTGATAGTGCCGCGCTCATGTGTCAAGTTTGCAAAAGCTTCAGGGATGGAGGGCGGGTCGTAATCAAAATGTGGCTCTCGCCTTAGCGCCGCGCGCATTCGTCTTTCGGGCTTGCAGCATTTTCAAGGATTCTCACAGTTCACGTCCTTGAAATGGTGTTTGGGCAGCCGGGCACGATGTGGGAATGCCAGGCCGCAACAGTCACATTGATCTGCGGTGTTGGAGTCCCAGGAACAGTGTTCTGGCTCGACTCAGGATCGTGAAGTCGCAACAGTAATGATGACTCGCGGCGTTGAAGTCCCAGGAGTGGCGTTCTGGTACAATCGCGGTGTTTCAAACCCTTACAATAGTCTTAGCATGCGTCTACACATTCACATGCGTTTTGGGGTGTTGCGCGACTTGCGAATATTGCGCCAGTAGCCAGACTGTAAATCTGAGACGTGACATCTTTGTCTTGGGGATCCAAGTTCGAACTGCCGTGAGCATTTAGATCGGATCCACACCGATCGATGGCCGAAGGCTCTCAGCAAGGCCGAGTTGCTCACGCTGGTCGTTCGTAGCTAACGTCATCTCGAACTCGCTCTGCGACTGATCTCACTCACTCACTCACTCACTTCTCCTCCTCCTCCTCCTCCTCGTCCTCCTCCTCCTTCTCCTCCTCACTCACTCACTCACTCACTCACTCACTCATCCTCCTCCTCCTCCTCCTCCTCCTCCTCCTCCTCCTCCTCCTCCTGCCTCGTGCGCTGGACGTCCCCGATCGTGCTCGGGCCGCCGGGGCAGGAGCGCTGGCGCCGCCCTGGGGCGCCAGGGCGCGACCAGAAGCTTCCGCGCATCCGGCGCCTCGGAGAAATCGGGGCGTCTTGCTTGTTGCTCAGAGTCGGTTGGGACGCGGACGTCGCAGCCGCCGTCCTCCTCGTCGCCCCCCCCCCTGGGTTCCTGGCGTTGCCATGTTTTCGAGCCGGGCGGTTTCGCAGTCTGTCAGGCCCTGGGGCCCTCGCAGATCGATCTGGCTCGAGACATGACGCAGGAAGATGGTGTCCAGGGCTCCGGGCGTGATTTTTACGAATCTCAGAGGCCGTTGTCCTCCCGCCCGCGGGGGCCTTTGTGTGCCTCGTGGGGCCCCCTCTCATGGGGTCCCCGCGGGGGGTCGATGAGCCTCGGGGAGTGCTCGGACGAGGCCAGATCGAGGATACATCCGTTCCAGAGCGTCACGGAACGCTCTCAGAGCGTTCTGGAACGCTCTGAGGGGGGCGCGGCGCCCGAGACAGCCTCTCGAGCGTTCTTCTCCTGGGATGCGAGTGTGAGCTGTGTATGCGCGTAGCGGGCGCTCAGGCCAATCTCCTGGCACCCTGGGCCAGGAGGCCGATGACAGGATGAGAACCAAGGATCGCCGGTCGATCGAGGAAGGATCGACGAGGTTGTCACTTGGTTTTGGCCTCCGGGGGACCGATCTCGGGCCCGCGGGCGCCCTCCAGAACGGATCCTGGATGCAAGACTGCGTCAGGGGACGGTGTCAGGATCAGACTCGGGCGAAGAGAAATATGCACATGCACCGATCTTGGCCATGCCTATCCTTGGCCCAGGATCAGTGCATAGGCTCTCCTGGCCAAGGCAGGAGGGCGTATGCACCGATCCTGGGCCCAGGATGGGCCTGGCCAGAATCGGTGCATGTGCATACTTCTCGTTCCTCTACAGACGAGGGCAGGATGATGATCAGACGAGGGCCGATCAGACGAAAATCAGATGAGGGGTCAGGATGCGACGGGGTAAGGATCAGACGAGGGTACGCGCCGGCGCCCCGGAACGCTCCTAGAGCGTTTCGGGCCGCTCTGGAGCGAGATATCCGCATCCAAAATATGATTGACAATTGCCCACGCCCAGAGCCCTGCGCGCTGTGACAAACATCACGACGTTCTTCGTTGCTTCCCCCATTTTCGGCCTCCGGGAGCCCTCACCGGGCCCCGCGACCACCAGAAAACGACTCGGCATGCAAAGTGAGGCTCCCGGGAAGGGGTTGCGATCTCCCACGGCCCACGCTGTGAAATATCGCGACGTCGGGGGGGGAGGGGGGGCGCGCGTTGTCAGGGGCAACGTTATGGGGGGATAGGCGCAGGGAGGGAATGCATCGCCCCTGGATCGCGCCAGGGAGCGTGCGTCGCCGACCCAAGGAATCCGCGAGGATCTCCTTCTCGCAGCACGGAAGTGGAGCAGGAGCAGGAGGAGGAGGAGGAGGAGGAGGAGGAGGAGGAGGAGGAGGAGGAGGAGGAGGATGGGCGTTTTCTTGAGATCGGTTCGGGCTTTGGACTTTGGAAGCGAGTTCGTCGCAGGTGCTGTGCTTTCGGCACCCGATGGGCGCGGGCTATTGGGGTCGAGGCCCCCTGACCCTGGTCAACTGATGAAGGAGACGGGGGGGGGGGATCCTGCCATCGCCCTGTTCTGGCACCCCTCTCCGGTCTCCTCCCTCCACCTCCTGCAGGAATCCTGACCATCCTCTCCTCATCCTCCTCGTCGTTGCCCTCGTCCTCATCCACCTCCGCCTCCCCGCGCGTCGTCCTCACTCCTCCCCTTGTCTCGTCCTCGTCCTCACTCCTCCCCACGCGTCGTCCTCACTCCTCCCCACGCGTCGTCCTCGTCCTCACTCCTCGTCCTCCTCCCCTTGTCTCGTCCTCGTCCTCGTCCTCACTCCTCCCCACGCGTCGTCCTCATCCACCCCCGCCTCCCCGCGCGTCGTCCTCACTCCTCCCTCCCGCCTCCCCTTGTCTCCTCCCGCCCGAGATTCCAATCTCTCTTCGCCGGCCTGCCTACCGAGGGGTGCCGTCCTCCCTGCAGGCGGGAGGGCCGCTGAGCAGAAGGCTTGGGGGGGGGGAGGAGGAGGAGGAGGAGGAGGAGGAGGAGGAGGAGGAGGAGGAGGAGGAGGAGGAGGAGCAGGAGCAGGAGCAGGAGCAGGAGCAGGAGCAGGAGCAGGTGCAGGAGCAGGAGCAGGAGCAGGAGCAGGAGCAGGAGGAGGAGGAGGAGGAGGAGGAGGAGAGGATGTAGGATGCGGAGGAGGAGGAGGAGGGAGCAGGATGCTGGGGGATCGCACCCGAGTTACACGTTCTCATTTGGTGTGCTGTCTTCGGTTATCGAAGATCCGTGTATGCCTGCATCGTTCAAATCATGTATCACGTCCCTCACCATGCGGGCGGCGCGTGCGTTCAGCCTGTTGAGTGTGTCCGCAGCCATTTGGGCTCGAGGCGCTGGCCTCAATTTCTCTCTCCCTCCCCTGGTCTTCGTCTTCCCTTTCACTCCGCCCACCTTCCTCAGCCTACCTCCTTCCCCTCTTTTCCTTGTATTTCCTCCTTATATCCCTCGTCATGCTTTTCATCCATTATCATCCTGCCTCCCCCTCATCCTCATCCTCGTCATCAGCATCATCATCCTCCGCCTCCTGCTCCTCCTGCTCCTCCTCCTCCTCATCCTCCTCGTCCTCGTCGTCCTCGTCCTCCTCATCATCATCATCAGCAGCATCAGCATCAGTATCAGCATCATCAGCATCAGCATCATCATCACCATCATCATCATCATCATCATCATCATCATCATCATCATCATCATCATCATCATCATCATCATCAGCATCGTCATCATCATTATCATCGTCATCATCATCATGTCATCACCGTCACCATGCCATCATCATCACGAGCGTCATCGTCATCGTCGTCGTCGTCGTCGACATCCACATCCACATCCACATCATCATCACGATCATCATCACTGCTCCTTCCTCATTCTGCCCACTCCTCCCTCCTCCCCTTCCTCTCTATCCTCCCTCCTCTCTACCCCGCCCCCTCCCTCCCCCATCCCCCCGAATTGGTGATGCCATGGCTGGCAGATCGGGCCACGGCCTCAGCCGCAACAGCGACCCCTACGCCGTGGTCGACCTCGGGCCGCAGTCCGCCGCGTGGCTGGACGACCCGCCCCCAGGACCGGGTGGCGACGGCCTTCTCGTGGTGTGGTGCTATCCCTCCTCCCCTCCTCCCTCTTTGGTCGGGGGTGGACAGAACCCCCAACAGTGACACGTCGATCAGTGAATTGTCCGTTTTCGGTTCTCGAGAGGGCGCCGTGGCCGCTATTTTCCAGGCGTGCGCCCGCCAGGTTTGGGCCTCAGGTCGTTTTCACTAAACCACGTTTTACTAAAAGGGGGGTCTGTCCATCCCCGACGACCTTCTCGTGGTGTGGTCCGTGGTGTGGTGTTATCCCTCCTCCCCTCCTCCCTCTTTGGATTCGTCTAGAGTTTGTCCCCAGCCCTTCTGGGCTCAGAGGGCTGCCCGTCGACAGCCGAGGTTTCATCAGGATCTCCTCAGGCCCATGCTGTAAAGCGTGTCGCCCTCCCACCCCTTCTCTTCTGGATTCATGCCCGACGACTCTTCTGACATAGGGATCTTGTCGACGCCGATCTTGGTCCATGCCGGCCGTCGCCGACTCGCGAGGATGATCCACGAATCGACGGCGACCAAGATGTGATGGTAAGAACAGGTGGCGATACCACTACCCTTCCCTCGTTTTTGTCTTCTGGGGCCTCCTGGGAGGCCCTCGTCGCCACTGCTGGTTTCGCCTCGAAATTGGTCAGAGCACACCCCGGGAGAGGTCCGGGGAGTAGCGGTATCGGTATGTACCTCTCATTTTCCCCAAGGTGGATTGTGGCAAAGAACGCACCGACGCTTCCGCATTCGGTTTCGGTCATGGTCACCCTTTTCTTTCCCTCCATTCAGTGCTGTCCACATGGGGGGATGTCTGGGAATCGGTCTTCCTACTGCGGCCGAAATCCTGTGTCGATTTGGTCTCGCCTCTCCGTCAGTCCGTCCGTACGGGGAGGGGCCACTTCTGCATGGGATGTGCACTGGCATTCCTGGTGTTGGCAAGGGGCTGTCGCTAGCGCACCTAGCGCACTGAGGTGCCGAGCTGCTCATGTGAGAGGATCGCACAATTCTTACCGAGTTCGACACTCGTCGAACTCTTCGTGTACAGTCCTAATTCACAGTAAGGATCGATAATCTTCCCAAGGTTACCCTTGCATCCCTGCCTCTTCGGTCCAGCGTTGACCACACTCGAGGTCCTGCTCGGAAAGCTCCAGCATGAATGTCCGAAGGGTTTGCATCTCTCCATCGTGCAACGTTGCTCGCCGAGCGCGTTCAACCACTCGCAAAGTGCCTACTCGCAGACGTCCGACAAAACATGTTTGTCTTGCCGTAATGGACCGTATACTCCCCGCGGCGGGTCCAGGCTATCTGCGAGTAGTTATTCTGCGAGTAGTGTAACGCGCTTGTATACATACTAGCAAAGTTGACTGCAGCGCCCACTCGTCCCCCTCCTCCTCGCGTCCCTTCCCAGCAGGGCGCGTGTTTCCCCAGCCCCGATGTCCTTTCAGAGGATCCTCGTTTTTTTCAGGGCGTGCCCACAGGAGCAAGGTCAGACATGACGAACGAACAAAGCACACCCATACCCATAGGGAGGACGGAGGGGGCTATGGGTTTGTCGGATGGGGTTCCCCGCTCCAACGGGAGCCTCCCCCGCGGTCCGACAACCCTAACCCATACCCAAAGTAGCCAGTCCTCCTCCCTCCGATCCGCCTTAGGGTATGGGTGAGTGTGTGTGTGTTGTTCGTTCGTCAAGACCTCCCCCTCGCGCCAACCCCCCCTCAGTTTCACACGTCGTCCCCTGCTTCCGTTGCGCGCTCGTCTCCGCGGGAAGCTCGTCGCCATTGTCAACAGTTCGTCTCGCGGGAGCCCCGCCCAGTTCACAAGTCGTCGCCCGCCCTCCTCTAGCCGACCGTCTTCACCAGAATGCCCGACCCCCCCTCCTTTCCAGTCCCCCCCGTAGCTGCCCGGTCTTCTCAGCCCCTGCTGCCGCCCGGCTACCCCCGCCCATTCAGTTTCTTTCTCATCCTTGTCCCTTGCGTCAAACTCTTGTTGCCCCTGTCCTCTGTCAAGAGCCTCTCCAACTCTCTCTCTCTCTCTCTATATATATGTATGCCTTGCTTCCTTCCTCTCATTTGTTTGTTCCCTATCCTTCCCTCTCTCTCTCTCTCCCCCCTCTCTCGGGGGAGGGGGAAGGGCAGCCCGCGGCACCCAGGGGGGCAGCCAGGCCTGTTCGGGGCAGCTGGCCGCAGCCCCCCCTGTGCCAAACCACGCCAGCCAACGTGGGGTAGCTACGCCAGAACATTTGGAGCAAGCGGAGGAGGAGGAGAGGAGGGGGCGAAAGGCGAGGCGCGCATTGTGGCACGGGTGGCCCGGAAGCCTCTCTCTCTCGTTGTCTCTTTCTCCTTCGCTATCCTCTCTCTGTCTCTCTCACTTTCTCCTTGTTGTTCCCACTGCTTGCCTCTCTGTCGTCCCCCTCCCGGCTGCCTGGCTGAAGCTACCCGCTCAGAAGCCACGATTGCAATTCGTGGCCCGATTGACAGCTAGCCCGCCCCTACTTGGCCCAGGCATCCACTGCGATCAGATGCCGCCCGTTTGTCCGTGAGTCACGTCAACCCCCACCGAACTATATGTCCCGACCGACGTCGCCCGCATCCGTTCTGCTGATGCCTGGCTACGCACCCTCCCCATGTTTTCCTGTCGCAGCGTGGCCCTTACCATCCTCCTCCTCCTCCTCCTCCTCCTCCTCTTCTGTACCCTTCCCTCCCCCTCGCGCCAACTTCTCACTTCTCCCTTCCGATTCGCAGATTCCCCCCCGTCCGTTGCCCGCGAGTCTCTGTGGGCAGCGAGTCGAGATTGTCAACCGCGTGCTTCATGGCAAACCCCTCCGATTATCAAACCGTCCCACCTAATCAGGCCGAACGTCTATCAGAACTGGCCACCCCCCCGTCAGTCTTGGTCTGGCTCGGCCCTCACACTTTTTGTTGCCGCTGCACTCTTCCCTTCGCACTTACTGTTGTCTTCCCACCTCCCCCTTCACAAAGCCAATGTGCGTTGGTAGTGGAAACATGTGACACAATTCAGGGCAGGGACCAGCCACCCTCGAAGGCCATTGACAAGTCTTGCAGTTTGCCTCCATCAGCACTGCCCCATCTACATCTGCCACCTGGCTTCCTCACGATCACTGCGTCGTCTCATGTCATCCTGGTTCTCATAGTTTCCAAAGGCCCGGGCAATTGAACCACACCCTCTCGGTGAAACAGGCTGGTGTTACTGTACCTCCTCCAGTTCCTGAGAGTTCCGTCCGTCCACGGGCGGCTCTGGGACCAGGGCTGGAAAGACCCCCTACGCCGACGCTGTATCTCCGGTTGTTTGCTCTCTTCCACCCATCGTGGGCCTCTCTTACCGTTTCCTCACAGGGGCCAGCCACCCTCAAAGGCATTGCAATTCTCCAGTCTCGTGCTCATCCTCCTCAGTCTCCTCCTCCTCCTCCTCCTCCTCTTCCTCCTCCTCCTCCTCCTCCTCCTCCTCCTCCTCCTCCTCCTCCCCCTCCTCACTTGTTCTTCCGTGCAAACCCCCAAGATGCCCTGGTGCTCCCGCCAGGCCCGCTGTCCACGCGCAGCGACGGCCGCTTGGGCTCACTGGAGGGCAGCCCGCGCAGCGGCGAGAGGCGGCCAGGCGGCAGCCGCGCGCGCGAGGCCTCTAAGGCGGGATCCGCTTCGACCCGCTCTCCTCCCTCCCGTTCCTCCTCCCTCCCTCCTTCCTTTTCTTGCCTGCTCGCTCTTCCCTCCTTCCCTCCTTCTCTCCCTTCCTTTCTACCTCCTCCTCCTCCGCCTCCTCCTCCTCCTTCTCCTGCTCAGCCTCCTCCTCCTACTCCTACTCCTACTCCTCCTCCTCCTCCCGCCCCCCTCCTCTTCTTCCTCCTCCTCCTCCTCCTCCTCTTCCTCCTCCTCCGCTGGCGAAGCTCAAGCAGGGCACAGCCATTCGCTGGAATGCGGTTCGGGGACCGGTCGCGCCCTTGCAGGTGACGTTGATCCAGGTCGGGTGGGATCCACAGTCTCCGCTGTTTTGTTCTCTCTCCTTCTTCTCCTCCACGTCCTTCTCCATGAGACCGCGCCCTCGCGCGCGCAATGCGAGATTGCCGCGCCCGCATTGCACGAGGAAGCTCTACGAGTGCCCGGCGGTAACCAAGGTTGACGGTTTACCGCCGGCTCCCAGTTTTTGTCTCGCCCGCCCTCGGACGACACGATCGACGATTGGCTTTTCCCCCAGCTTTGGTGATGAGCAGCCCGGCACAGCGGCAATGGCGCACTTCGATGATATGATTGGCGAATTCATGGGCGTTTGTGTTGCACAACAGTGCCAGGCAGTTTCTCAGCATGTTGCAGGCGAGGACCTGGTTCATGGCGCCAACATGACGACGGTGCGAGTCGAGCTGAGTCGCTTCGCCAAGCGCATGCAGTTTGAGGAGTGGTCCGCCGACCTTGCAGTCGTGGGGGGCGGCCAGTGGACTCGTGAGAGGTAGATTGCTGCAGGCTGCGCCTGCCCGCCCGTGTGCCACCGCTGAACAGAAATGCCTGGGACTCTGTTGCATCGTATTTGGGCGTGCCCCGCGAACCGCAGGAACGAGGATTTTGAAAAGACCGATCGCCTGGCTCCCCAAACCCTCGCGAGCCTAGATGCGCAGCCTGCGTTGTGGCTCCGCGGAGTGCCCACGAAGGACCTTGAGGTGCCGAAGTTTGTGGAGACCCCTGAGGCTGCCCAGGAGGTCCTTTTTGGTGAGGGGAGTGTTTTGGACCACTGCGTCGCCCCAAGAGGCCCCCCTTGCAGATCTTCGGGGATGGCTCTGGAGGCGAGCACAGCGCGGACCCCAGGAGGAGACGATGCGGCTCGGCGATCATTGTCATGAGCCAGGATCCCTCGTCGCTCTTTTGGAGCCCCGTGTGTGGCGTTGCTCAGGTCCTCGTCGGTGGAAAACAAACGGCGCCGCGTTCTGAACTCCAAGCTTTCCGCTTAGTTGTTGAGAGCTCGTCTGGTCCTATCTGCTACGTGACTGACTGTAAGAGTTTAGTTTCCGATTGGCACTCTGGCCGTGCCAAGTCTCCTCGGGGCCAAAACGGTGACCTTTGGGTCCGTGTCCGGCGTGCTCTGGAGGCCCGCGTCCCTGGGGATGTTTCTGCGCTGTGGACCCCCTTCGCGCCGTGAGGAAGAGTCGGTAAAGACGGAATTCGAGTTGTTTTTTGGAGCTTGGGCACCCCCTGTGCCGACGTGTGGGCGGGCACCGCTGCCCAGTGGGCCTGGGACTGGCGCGCAGCGCCCCCTGCCCCTCGGAGTGACATCTAGGACGAGGCGGCGGCACTGGTGAGGCGCAGAGTGCGGCGTGCGTTGCTTATGGCGCTCGAGGTTGAACCGTGGATCGGTGAGAGACCACCTAGCGTCAAGCAGCCGCGTAAGCCAACCCGTTTGAAGGAGGCTCTGAAAGCAAGCTTTCACGATTTCATGCCGCTTGCTGGTCGCTGGAGGTGCAAGTTTGAGCAATGATATTGTCCCGCGGAGCAGGCTGCTCAGAATCGCCTCGGCCCGTTGCCGTGATCCGCTTCTCGCCGCGCCGCTGGATCCGGATGAGACGCTGGGGTTACCTTCTGAGCGTGGCGAGGGTTTCGAGGCGACCTCGGGCGAGGCGAGCGCGGGCGGGGCGCTCCTGCGCCCCAGCCACTGTTTCGCCCAGATGAAGGCCTACGGGCTGCTCTTCTGCATGACGCGTGGACGCGCAGCCACTGCTGATGCGAGGAATCCTGCTTGCGCGCGCCCCCCCCCCCCCCGTCTCGCAAGGGGGGGTGGATCTCAAGAGAGTTCCAAGAGTTGTGTTTCCCAGCTGTCGTGGTCCACCGGCGTCACTGACAGCGGCGATTGCAGTGGGCGCCCGGCCCGCTCTACGAGTATTTGACGGTCTCGCCGACCCGCCACCCGAGCGAGACGGCGACACTCATGCGCGCTGAAATTGAGAAGGCTCCGTGTTGCGCGGCTGCCGCCCCGTCTGCCGCCGCTGCCTCGAGGGAGGTAGCTGCTCGGCTTCGCGCGTCGAGCGCCTGCGGCAGCGGTGGCGGCGTTTCGCAGCAGCGGGCAGCGGCAACGGAAGACAGCGGTGACAGTGATTGATGCCGCTGGCGCGGCGCTCAGTACAGCCCAGCAGAGTCCTCCTCCTCCTCCTCCTCCTCCTCGCCCTCCTCCTCCTCCTCCTCCTCCTCCTCCTCCTGTTCCTCCTCCTCTTCCTCCTCCTCCTCCTCCTCCTCCTCCTCTTCCTCCTCTTCCCCATCATCATCACCATCGTCGTCATCATCGTCGTCATCGTCGCCATCCCCATCCGAATCCCCATCCTCATCCTCGTCCTCATCCTCATCCTCCCCCCTCCCCCTTCCCTTCCCCTCATCCGCCCCCCCCTGCTCCTCCGCCCCCTTTCCCGTCGTCCTCCTCTTCCATGTATCCTCCTTTTCTCCTTTCTCTCTCCTCGTCTCCTTCTCCTCCCTCCTTCTCCTCCTCTTCTCCTCCTCCTCGTCCGCGTCCTCCCCTCCTTCCCCCTCCTCTTCTTCTTCCCCTCCTCCTCTTCCTTCCTCCTCCTCCTCTTCCTCCTCGTCCCTCCTCGTCATTCTCTCCTCCTCCTCCTCCTCCTCCTCCTCCTCCTCCTCCTCCCTCCTCCTCCTCCTCCTCCTCCTCCTCCCTCTCCTCCTCCTCCTCCTCCTCCCCCTCCTCCTCCTCCTCCTCGTCCCCCTCCTCCACCTCCTGTTCCTCCTCCTCCTCCCCCTACTCCTCCTCCTCCTCCTCCTCCGTAGCCATTTTGGCTCAAGGTGGTTTGTTCCACGGGGGAACGCGCGGGCACCGCTAGTCCGCGGCCAGTGCCAGGGCGCCTCTGCCCGACAGTTTTGTTCCAGTCGACGGGCCCGCCCCCGTCCACTGTTGCCTGTCGCCGCCCCGCGACGGAGCAGGTTTTGGCGCCCTCGTGTTCGGAATGCCGCCGAAGAAGGCCCAGCCTGGTTTTGTCATCTGCACGGGGTGCCGCTACAGATGGACCTTTCGCAAGAATCCGACCTGTTGGCAATGTGGCCACTGCCTGGAGCTCCCACCAGCCAGGCCGTCGCCGCGCCACGGTGTCTGGGCAGATGGCGGAGAGCAGAAAGGGAGTGGCGGCAAGGCCCGGCCGAAGGGAGGCAAGAAGGGCAAGGGCGGCAACGGCGCTGAGGCTGGCGGTGGCAAAGGGGGAGCGACCTCGGGACATGGGGCTCGCACCAGCTTCCCCGACGCGCCCTGGTCGACGTCGACGCAGTCAGAGCTCGACCAGCTGCTGGCCACCCCCGATCCCGACATCACCGCGCGTCTCCGTGAGGCGGTGGAGGCAGCGAGGGGATACAGGCCGCCCTCGCCAGCGGCTACGGAGAGGACCCTGGGGCAGCAGCTGCAGTCGGCCACGGACCGCCGGGTCAACTGCCAGCGCCAGCTCGACGACGCCGCCGACGCCATGGCTGCTGCGGAGGCGCAGCTGGCCGACTGCCGCGGCTGGCGCGACGCACCTGCGCGCTCAACCTCGCCGAGGCGCAGGCAGAGGAGGCCCAGCTCCTCCGCCGTCGGGCGCAGGCGTCGGGAGTCGGAGCGCCCATCCTTGAGGTGGACGAGCAGCTCACCTTCAATTTCGACGCCGAGCCCCTTGAGAACTTTGGCGTGTTGGAGGAGGAGGCGCAGGCGAACCTCAAGCGCCTCTGCGCGGAGGGCCACGACATCGCGCGGGTGGCCCAGCAGAGCTTCGAGCAGCAGTGCCAGGAGCAACTGCGGCGCATCAGGCAGGAGGCCCAGGAGGCGATCAAGAAGAAGCGCAAGCTCGGCGACGACACCGAGGATGGCCAGGCCATCCCTGCGGCCGCAGCCGAGCCGCCGACGGCCCCCGCGACCCCGCCAGCTGGCGGGGAGCCCGCCGTGGGACAGCGGGAGCCAGCGGCTGCAGAGGCCCCGGCGGCACCCGCAGCAGGCGATGCCGCGGCGGAGCAGATCCGTCGCAACGCGGCGAAGCTCGGCGCCTCGGCCTCAGAGCACGCCCGCCAGCGCGCCGAGCCGAAGGCTGGTGGCCAGGCAGCTCCAGGGCCTGCTCCTGCTGCTGATGGCACTAAGCCCCGCGGGTAGCCGCGCGGGCCCCGAGGCACATTTGGGCGCGGGGGAAGGGGATTCAGCCTCCTACCGTCACACTCCCGCGCCCTCGCGTCCAACCAGTTCGGCCACGCCTTCTCGGTGGGTGACGTTAGGGGCGGCGAGTTCGGCGATGGGCATGGCCTTTCCCAGCAGCGGTCGGCCTGGGCCGCTTCAAACTGGAGTGAGGGAGCCGCGGACGCGCGGATGGCAGCCTCCCCCTCCAGGTGCCCCGCTGCCACTGCCCCCGACGGGGGGGCGGCCGATGCCCGTGGCAGTGGGAGGAAACGCTGACCACGGCTCGGCCCAGGCGGGGGGGGGGCCGCCACATGAGCGACATAGAGGTACCCGGAGCTCTCGGCAGGCGACCTCGGGATTGGCCTCCGCGAGGACAGGGCTGGTTGCGTCTTCGGGCTCGCCGACCGCGGAGACGAAGATTTCGGGCCTTGGCATGGCCTTTTCCCAGCAGCAGTCGGCCTGGCACGTTTCAAACTGGAGAGAGGGAGCCGCGGGCGCGCGGACGGCTGCCTCCCCC